CCCAATATTGAAAAAATCCAGTCAAAAATGGGCAGAAGTCCTAGACATTTGTCAAAAGACACACAGATGGCCAACAGGCACATGAAAAGATGTTCAACATTGCTAATTATTAGACAGTCAGTTCAGTCACTCAGTCATGTCCGACTCTTTGCTACCCCATGCATGCCAGGCTTCCCTTCCAACCACCTCATCCTCTGTCATCCCCTTTTCCTCTTGCCTTCAATCTTTCCCAGCATCAGGGTCTTTTCCAGTGAGTTAGTTCTTTGCATCAGGTGGCCAAAGAAAATATGAAATTATTAGAGAAATGCAAACCAAAACCACTGTGAAGTATCATCTCACACAGGTCAAAATGTCTATCATCAAAAAGTCTACAAATAATAAATGCTGGAGAGGGTGTAGAGAAAGGGAACCCTCTTATACTGTTGGTAAGAATGTAAATTGGTGCAGTGACTATCAAAAACAGTATGGAGGATCCTGACAAAACTAAAAATAAGCCACCATATGACCCAGCAATTCAACTCCTGGTATATACCTAGAAAAGATGAAAACTCTAACTTGAAAAGATACATGCACCCTAATGTTCATGGCAGCACTATTTACAAAGCCAAGACATGGAAACCACCCAAGCGCCCACCAACCAATGACTGCCTTAAGAAGAGGTGGTATATATTTGTGTGTGTGTGTTCATGTGTGTGTATATATATATCACTGAATATTACTCAGTCATAAAAAAGAATGAAATATCACCATTTGCAGCAACATAGATGGATTTAGAGAATATTATACTTAGTAAAGTAAGTGAGACAAAGAAAAGGAAGTATTATATGATATCACTTACATGTGGGATCTCAAAAAAAATCCAAATGAACCTAACAAAACAAAAGCAGATTCACAAACATAGAAATAAAACTAGAGTTACCAAGTGGGAAAGGGAGGGTGGAGGGATAAATTAGGAGTATGGAATTAACAGATACAAACTACTATACATAAGCAACAAGGATTTACTGTATAGCACAAGGAACTATACTCAATATCTTAAGCTATAATAGAAAAAAACTGTAAAAAATACACATATATATAACAGAATTACTTTGATATATACCTGAAACAATATCATAAATCAACTATACCACAAATAAAAATTAGGTGAAACCAGAATATACTTATATTTGGTAGGACTGAAATATATCAGTGCTTTTCATACCTTGAATGAATGCTGTCACTATGCAGTATACTTTATAATAAGACTTTCATTAGGATTAGCAAGTTTGAGATATAAGATCTTTCCTCTCAACTTCTGTATCCCACAAAAGAAACCAACACTATTGAACATATATTAGCTGCATGATGCCTATATACACTACATCATTTGCTTTATTTATTCATTTGTCATTATTTAAGAAGATAGAGGCTAAAGGGAAATTATAAAATGATATTTTACTTTAAGCCAATGAGTAGTCTTTTTAGATTTTCTTTTTCCTTGGTATTGTTGCTTAATAGTCATTTGGACAGTAAAACATTTAAATGCTTGGACACACTAAAGTTTGGTGTCTCTCTGATCATGGTATATTAAAATTTAGGTATTGAGTTTTTCCTTTTCTTTCTTTCTTTGACACTCAGTGTTAGACAGATATTAATATTAAAAGAAATAAATAACTTTTTATTCTCTAACATAAAATATTTTGAAGTTAAAAAAGACTCATTTAGAGGCAAGAGAGCACTACTAGGTTACTATCTAAGTATATGACTGCTATAAAGTATGTATTCACAAACTGAAAATCCAGTATAAATGTTTCATATATGGTATAAGGAGATGATAAAATTTAAAAAGTTATTTAAGCTTTCATGTATAAAGAAAAAGTTTAGATTAAAACAACTGAAATATGATGGTAACTCCAGTCTTACATGGGAGGTTTTCTGTTCACAAATTTTCAGTTTTGTGAAGTCGACAGCTGTGACTTCCAAATTACTCAGACTACCATTTTGGTGCAAGATCAGAAAACATATTTTTCAGAATTAAACTAGCTGACATATACACATTGTGATTGAAGGCGTATTATAGCTAAATGAATATTGGAAAACAGTTAATTGGAATGGAGTCCGTGATGGTTTCTTAGATGCTAGTCATGGGAGAGGAGGAGTGGTGAAGATGGGTGTGCCGTGCTCAGCTGCCTTAGACTCTGTGCGCAGCCATGGGCTACAGCCCGCCAGGCTCCTCTGTGGAGCTTTTCAGGCAAGAATGCTGGAGTGGGTTGCCATACCCTTCTCCAAGGGATCTCCCCAACCCAGGGACCAAGCCGGCATCTCCTGCATTGGCAGGCGGATTCTTTACTACTGAGACACGTGGGTAAATATGAATCACGGTATTACTGTAATGTACAGTATGTAAAAGGAGGTTGATGCGGAGCCTCCAGGGAGTCTGAAGGTCTTAAATGGAGGCCTGAACTCAGTTTTCCGCCTTTTTAACCCAGTCACTGTATTCTATTATTTTACAGGTCAGACCCAGAGAACTATCATCAACTCCTTTAAGGAATAATTCTGTGGCAAATAAATCTCATAAATTCTTCCCCATGCCCTGTCTGCAATGATCTTAATTTTAACTGCAGAACACTTATCATTCAAGAACATGAAGCGATAAAGAAAATGAGGTGAAAAGTGAGGGATTCCACAGGCAAACAGCAGTATTATATAAGGCACCAGCAAGTCTTAAAATAGAAATGGAAAGTATTGGTTTAACTTTTCCGGCTAAAGGTCACCTGACATTTAAATGAACTACAAATGTTGACAGAATCATAATTTTATATAACGTATAAAGAACACTAAAGGAAATCAACCCTGAATATTCATTGGAAGGACTGACACTGTAGCTGAAGCTCCAACGCTTTGGCCACCTGATGCGAAAAGCCAATTCACTGCAAAAGACCCTGATGCTGGGAAAGATGGATGCCAGTAGAAGACGACGACATCACCGACTCAATGGACATGAGTTTGAGCAAGCTCCGGGAGATGAAAGATGTGCCGCAATCCATGGGGTTGCAAAGAGTCAGACACAACTGAGCGGCTGAACAACATAAAGAACACTATCATTTTCTGTGATTTATTTTTTTCCTTTTGATGCTCCCAAACAAGCAACTCTGCAGGGAACTGAGAAGCAAGTTATGTTCCTCCAATATGGCCTTAGAGACTATATAACTTTGACATTTTGTTCGGCTTCGTCTTTTGAGGATAAACTCCCTCATCTGTCCAGACTACATTCCCTGTCTCTGGAAATTCCCTATGGACAAAAAAAAAAAATAGGTACTGTTAAGTTCCACCTTTTAAAACATAGAACATTCTATGTTGTGTGAAATGCTGCTATAAAGGCGGGTGATTAGCTTCCGCAGAGTAGGTCAAATGTCTATTGAGCTGCACCACAAGACAAGAACATTTTCTGCTCTTAGCAGCAACAGGCTGTATCAGTTAGTGGGGGGTCAGACGTCCAATATTTCAGATGTTAATATGCACTGGCCACGTGGTCAGTGAATTGGGGCAACGTTTTTATAAACTGGGGAGACTTATGCAGTCATAATCCCGGTGATCCGTTTCGGGTTGGGGAGGGAGGGGGTGGCTTTTTCCACTGCCTTGAGAAGTCATTTCAAGTATGTGGGGTTGTAGAGCCCGGACCTTTGGGAAACTTGAAACCCAGAGACTTCGCGGATGTACTGGCGGGGACAACCCATCCGGCTTCAGGTGTCACTGATTCTGTAATGTGTTAAGGTGGGGGGTGGGGGGCGGCAAATCAGCTTTCATCCCTTTTAGGAACTCGGTACAATTCTGCAAGCTAAAGACCCAGCCCAGGCGGCAGGTGCCCACGCCTCCGAACGTGGTATCTGAGCTGAGCTCCTCTTCAGAGATGACTCCGCATTTGAACCTCTGCCCACGATCCGAGCGCGCGCGGGCGGCGGGGTGGGGCACGTGACCGGCTCTCCTCCTCGGCCATGCCTAGCGGGGCGACCGCCACTGCCCCTTCCACGTCTTCGAGCCCCTCCAGCGCCGAACAGCGTACAGACACCCCTCAGGAGGCGGTCCCCCAGCTAGCTATGGACGCCAGGGTTACCAGCACTCATGCCTTTCCTCCGGCAACAGTTAGAGAGCCCCTATAAGCCGGGGAAGGAAATGGCAACCCATTCCAGTATTCTTGCCAGGAAAACCCCACGGACTGAGGCGCCTGGTGGGCTTAGACTCCACCGGGTCGCAAAAAGGCGGACATGACTGAACGACCTCACTTCACATCACTATTTCGAAGCAGCTGCCCGAGACTTCCGCCTAGGTGCCGACCACGTGATCACGCGAGACTTGGCGAGGCGGCGGGCCGATTTCACAACTTTAAGTCGGCCCCACCCCTCACAACGCCCTCCACAGGGTTCGACGACGCGGCCTGCGGCGGCCTCCGCCCCGACGCGCCTGCGCACGCGGCTCTCGCGGTGTTCTCGCGCTCGGCCCCGCCCACCGCTGCCCCCGCCCTTTCCGCCCCTCCCTCCTCCCCTCCGCCCTGTCTCTCGGCGGCGGCGGTGGCGGCGGCGGCTCGCGCAGCTCGTTGGCTCACTATATAAAGGGGAGAAGCGGGCGGACCGGACGGCTGGAGCTGCAGCCGGTGGCGGCGGCGGCGCGGGGAGCGGCGACCGGTGGTGGTTTCCCTCCTTGGCGCGGGGGTGGGGAGCGGACAACGCCCCCCGGGACCCCTAAAGGGTCTTGGCCTTTTTTTTTTTTTTTAAAAGGGCGATTCTCGAGTTTTTTTTAGCTCCGGGAGGACTCCCCCTCCCGCCGTCCTCCCCTTCCTCCTCTCGCCGCTCCCCTCTCCTCCGTCAGGATCCGATTTTGTTTGAAACATTTTCCCCTCAGTTTTGCGGTGGCTTGGGTCACCCTCGAGTGTTCTTTTTTTTTTCCTCTCTTTTTCGTTTTGTTTTCATCTTGTTTCCTCGGGGTGGCCCCCCCCACTCTTGTTTGTGTTGTGTGTGGAAATGGCGAACTCGGCAAATACAAACACCGTGGTAAGGACGTGGTTCGGTGGCCGGCGGGGGCTTCGTTCAGGCGGCGAGCAACGGCCGGACCGGGCGGGGGCGGGGACGGCGGCGACTCCCCGGCCTCGACTCTCCTCAGCCGCCCGCGCGCGGCCGCCGCTTCCCGCCTCGGGCGGCGCGGGCCGGGGCGGCGGGGCGCGGGGGGGTGGTGGGGGGCGGGCGCCGAGGCTCGCGGCGCGGGCGCCGGCGGCGTGGAGGGCGGGGGCGCCGGCCGGGCCTGGGGCCGCCGCGGGGCGGTTGGGCCGGGGCGAGCGCGCGGTCCCGGCCCGGGACACCCCCCGGCCGCCAGAAGGGGAGGGCAGGCGGGGAGCCGCCGCTTCCCTACCCCCCCATCCCGCCCGCCTGCCCCCGAACCGGCAGGAGAAGGGGCTCCCCGCGAGCCGCCTCAAAAAAAAACCGGCGTCTGGGGGAGCCGGGCGAGTACCCCCTCAAGACCCACCGCCATCCACTGTTAACGCGGTGGAAGGCGAATGGCTACTCTAGGTGTTACTCTGAGGTGTTCTGGCGGTTGTGCTTAGGGAGCCTTCACTGGGGCCATTTTATGTATTATTAAAAAAAAAAAAATGACGAAGGTTGAAAAGCACTTAATCTCGGTTCCTTCCGAATCGGTAAAATGGCGAAGGGGAAGCAAACCACCCCCCCACCCCGGTCGTATATACCTCCGACTAGCAAAAGCACCAAAACAAAACAAAGCCTCCAGTGGTCCAAAGTGCCCCGCTTTCGCCTTGAAATCTGCCTACTTGCCACCGTTGGTCCCTTTTTCTTTTTTTTTTTTCCTTACTTGCGATCACGTAGGTTTGCAAAAAGCAGTCACATAAATAACCTTGTCTGTCAGTCACCAACGCAGTGTGATCACGAGGCCACCCCCACTCTCTTTTATTTTTATTTTGACAATAAAACACGTTTCTGCCCGGTCCCAAACGCAGACCAGCCCCGCGGCAGCCCGGCCCCGTACCGTTGGCGACTCGGGTCGATCCATCATGGCTGCGGCCGCTTACCCTGCTTTTCAGTCCCTGAGCCTTGTGGTCCTCCTCCCTTTGGCTGCCCTGTTTATATAGAGCCATTGCCGCTCTCTAATATAGACTCTGCCAGGATGGGAAGGTGCTTTTCAGGCCTACGTCACCGCCTCTCCATTTAAACACCAGATCCGGCTTTAAATAGTGAGAGCGGCTGAGAGCGGGGCTGGGAGGTGCGTGCTCCCGAGGCGAGAGGCAGGCGCGTGCAGAGCTCACTTTTATTTCTAGGTCCTTTTCTGTCTACTGTAATTTCGTGCCCAGTCGGGGTTGCCTTCGCAGCCGCAAGTTTTTGTTTGGACGTAGCAGCTGGGGTTTGCCGGGCATTGTTAGGGGGGAATAGACGTGCCCTCTTTTATTTTTATTTGTAAAAACAATTTTAAGCTCAGATGTCTAATCGCTTCTGTATATAAGAAGGTACATGCATTATTGTCAGTTATTTTTTTTAAAAGCTTTATTAACTGCTAGCTGTAGAGAGTTTGATTTTGGTAGTATTTTGTTCATCGAGCATTCAGGACATGTTAGAAACACAGCTTCAATATTTCATCATGTTTTCCTATAATAAATGTTTGAGACACACAGCTTTTCAAAGAAATAGGGAAAGTGCCTAAACCTTCGACGTAGGATCTTACGTCTACAGTACATTAATTGTTAGGGGAATTGTGAGTAATGTGAAGAGGCTTAGTGCAAACTGGGTATTAAAAAATTAAAGTTCTAAGTAGACTTTGCTGCTTTGGATGTTCATATGGTATGCAGTGTAGAAATTAATTCAATTTATTTTCCAATATTGTACTACGAACTAACACTTTTGAAAGAAATTCTTTGTTACTTAATGACACTAATTTACGAGTTTGGAATATCTGGTGTTTGGAAACCAGGACAAACCTCAATTAAAAGGCAAAAACTGGTTCAAGTAAAGTTTAGCATTTTAAATAATAATTTGGAAATTGCTTTTTTCAAATATTGCCTACGTACTCGCATACTCTGAAAGACAACAGTAATTTGGGTGCTTTTTAACTCTTGAACAATTTAAAATTCTATGTGTACTTAATAATGAATACACATTTCCCTTTAACTATAGTGCATACGAATCCATTAAGTGGTCAGGTTGTGGGTTAATTAAAGCAGAAAAACAAAATCTTAAAGCAGGATTGTTTCATTAGGGAGTGCCAGAAGAAAGCACACTGTACCAATAAATGTGCAGATATCCAAGCAGAATATTTTTAGGGATGACTAACTTCAGGAACATTAAAACAATTATTTTGCTGAAAAATTAATTTATATCATCAATATGAGATTTATATTACCAATTTAAAATTACACCGCATCTTTATAATGCCTTGAATCATTGGTTAAAAAAACTTTATAAATGTATTTTTGTAATTCAGTAGTTGAATCTTTATAGATAAAGTAATATCCATAGTCAGACTTTCCTTGTTTAGAGAATCAGACATTTAGTTCACAGAGGCAGATTTGGCAAAATAAAAAGAAAGTGAGTAAGTGGAATAGCAAAGGTGAGAACTCAAATACATTGTTTTTCTGTTACATTGAAAGGGAACAAATAGATTTTAATGGTTGAGGTACGTTATATAGAGGAACATACTTGTATTTTTGGCTGGACAAGGACACATTAAGAGGTTTCCCCTGTGATAACAGTATTGCTGATGGAGATGCTAATAAAACTTTTCTATTTGAGGTTTGCTTATAAGAGCAAACCCTTGGTTTTATTGGGTAGCAGTAACTTTTACCTTAAGCAAGATATAAAGTGCAAATAATGACAAAGCATTAAAAGAAAAAGGCTCTTAATAGCTCTGTGTGATAATGGATAGAATTTATAACAAGGTAGTTCTGGTTTTACACTCTGATAGCAAACTTCCTTTTGTCCAACATGTTTAAAAATACGATACAGGTTGGGCAAATTGTTCTGTCTCTTATTTTTTGTTTTTTTAAAAATACTTTATATACTTTTGAAGTGCTTTCACATCTATTCTCATTTTATTTTTTGGCAACTTTCTAAAAGCAACCCCCCCCCCCCCCCCCCCCCGCCAAGTAATGCCAACAATAATAGTTATAATAATAATAGGTTAAAAAATAAGTATCAAGGCTGCTCAGTATTCTGTTCCATGGCAGCATCTGGGCAGCTGTTTTGTTTTACTCTCTCAGTCATGTCTGACTTTGCGACCCCATGAACCCACCAGGCTCCTCTGTCCATGGGATTTCCCAGACAAGAATACTGGAGTGGGTTGCCATTTCCTTCTCTGGGCAGTAGTAGGAGAGAAATCCTGGAAAAGAGATCATTGTGCCTTGTTCCTCTGAGACTGAGACCTGTTATTGTGGCTATAGGAAAAGCTTTATGGTATAATTTAAAGGTACAGACTGGGTAACAAAAGCCAAAATCAGGTGATTTTAAATTTGAATAGTCATTAACTTGCAAATTACTGCCAGGCAGATGATCACAGGACATAAAGACTCTCTGAAGTCTTAAGAGAGAGATGAGGTTAGGAGATATAACCAGTTAAACTAAGTAAGGAATAATAAGAACCAGACATAGCAATCCATAATACTATATTGTTGGGTCCCATTGACTGTTTTGACTACAACAACATAGAAATTATAACTGAAACTTGTATGGGCCTTCTGTGTGTAATGATTTTCTGTATTAAATATGAATTGTATTAAATAGTCATAAAACTTTTTGTTAAAATACACAGTCATCAAGTCATTCACTTTAACTAAGGCAAATGATCTTTTTATGATGGCCATTCCTTTAAAGTTACATCTTCTAAAATAAGTTTTAGAGAGTTAGAAAAATGACCGTTGTGTTAATTTATTTTGAATTTGTGAAAACATGTTACCTATTTTAATATGTGAAAAAGTCTTTTTCAGTAGTCTTAAGTTTTTATTTTCCCTTTAAAGCCTAAATTATACAGATCTGTGATCGAAGATGTTATTAATGATGTGAGAGACATCTTTTTGGATGATGGAGTCGATGAACAAGTTCTGATGGAACTAAAAACTGTGAGTTTGCCTTTTTTTTTTTTCTAACACTCTTCATTCAGAAACTATACTCCCATGATTTTTTCATATGATGACCATTTGACTTTGTTGCAGGAGGCGGTGTAGTTATGTGAAGGGTGCTTATTTTGAATTCCAGTTCTACCATACATTCTTCCTCTGACCTTAGGCAAACTACTTATATTTCAGTTTCCATATATGTCAGATGGGAGTTCGTAGTACTTACCCTTTAGGTTTGTTTTGAGGATTAAATGTAATAACTATCTGAAGTGTTTAGCACAGTGCCTGGCAATAGTATTAGCTATTATTAGTGGGCAGTTTCATTTATGGTCTGATAACTTCATATTTACATTCCTGTAAGGTGTTTTTTTTTTTTCCTCCTTTTTTTGTTGTCTCAATGTATGGATATTCTAAAATTTGTATGTTGTAGAGATTGAGCAAATGCTTGATAAATTTCACATTCTGGAGTCAGATTTTCTGTGTGGGCCAAGTATTTGGTTTATCATATATCCTAGTTTGGGAGCTCCTTTTCTGTCTCTTGGATTTATGTGGATTTAAGCAGAAAAATAGATATTTTTATTTTATGTTTTTGTTTTCTTAGTGCTGTAATAACTTGTGAAATCAAGGAGTATTTTTATGTTACTGCTGAGAACCATGGTTATCAAAATATGGTCCATGGACTTTCCCACAGTCTCTTCCACGGGGTCAATGAGGTGGAGCAATGCCCAAGTCTGAATAATCATAGTATGTCTCTCACATTTCCAGTAAAAGTTGTATTACATGAAAAAAGTGACCAGTTAAACTTGAAACTCAAATGAACAAGTGCTATTCCTTGAGATAACTGCTCCATATGCAGCAGAAGTGCATTATGCATGCTTCCTATTTTGATGCACTGTTAAAAATATGCTTACTTTTAAGGTTGAGATAAGATTATTGTTGATATTAAGATATTCAATTGTTTGATATTCTGTAGTGAGATGTGTTGACATCAGCACATCTGCATACTACACTGAAATCGAATTTTCCAAATAACCAATGCATGATGTTGCAAAATCCCTTCAAAGTTAAAGATAAACGAATGGATTTTAATCTAAGAATATGAAAAGTTAATTAGTATGTGGTCTCACGTAGTACATTGCAGCTAACCTTTTAAGAAACCATTACTTAAAATACTTCCTCCTTTCCCAGCTACTCAGCTGTGGGAAGACAGATTTTCTTCATATATGTCAATGAAAACAAAGTGAATGCAGAAGCAGATGAGAGAATCCAGCTATTTTCCTTTAAGCCATTTCTCACTAAATTGTATTTGAAAGACATTATTTTCATTGAAAGTATTTATGTTAACATATAATGGATACATGTTACTTTTAAATAAGTAAAAGTTTTTAAAAAATCTTATTTAAAATTTTGTAAAAGCTCATTGAAGCACTTGCTTGGTGGTCCAGTGGCTAAGATTCCATGCTTTCAATGCAGGCGGCTGAGGTTTGATCCCTGGTCAGGGAATTAGGTCCCACATGCGGCAGCTAAGTGTTGCGTGTAGCAACTGAAGAGTGCGTATTCCGCAACAAGGATGAAATGTCTCGTGTGCAGCAACTGAGAGCCAGTGCAGCCGAGTAAATAAATAAATAAATTTTTTTTTCCCAAGCTCATTGAGGTCCTCATTAATTTGTGAAAATGATAAAGGAGCCTGAGACCAAAAAGTTTTAAAACTGCTGGCTTAGAGGCTGGAAATTGAGATCCTTTAGAACTATTATAAATAAGAAATCACAGTGAATGCTATGTAGCACTTGTTATGGTCTTATTTATCCATTCATCAGAGGTGTGGAGGTTGCAGTTTAGCAACTTATTAAATAAAGCAAATCTCACTTGTATTGTGGTGATGAAATATATCTTAGAATATTGCAGCATCTATAGGCAGCTTCTGTAGGGTTTTCATTAAGAGTCAGCCCATGTGAAGAAGGGAAAATACAGGTTTGAATGAGATGAGGAAACATTTATTTGCCTTAGGAGAAATGTGATGGTTACCTCAAGTGAAGAGTAGGTGTCTAAAAATATAAGTGAAGGAATGCCAACTCTGAGATAGGAGTTGGAAGAATAGCAACGGAAATTGTTCAAACACATAAAGTATCTCAGGAATATGAATAAGAAGAGTATAAACTTATTTTGATTGCTTAGTGTTTTTTGGAATGAATATTTTACAAATTATGTTATAACCCTTATGATGATTGTCGTAGTTCTGTGACCTTATGTAGAAGGTAGAGCATTTTTAGGTGTAGAAAATTAGTCCCAAAGGCTTTAATTTACCCTTGGACAAACTAGTGGTCAATCCAAGTTGTTATCTGCTCTAGCTTTTCACAGTCTGAGATTGATATTTTGCTACTGATCCCAGTTAGAATCTAGGTGTTTTCTTCAAACAGATTGAACTGTCTTTGAGACCAAATAGTTCCACCTCCTTTTTTAGTACATAAGATTATATGTATATATGCACACATACTTGAAGATATATGTATGTATATTATAAAAGTAATATATATGTATGCCTTATAGATTATGCACTGATTTTTTGTTTAATGCTTACCTTTATAGGACAAAAATTGCCTTATTTAATTTTGAATCCCCAGCCTTTGCCACAGTGCTTGTTGTATGTGATTGGCATTCAGTAAATATTTAATTAAACAACTTAATAACAAATGTTGCTCCAGAATCTAACTGAAAAAAGTATTTTACTGTTTTTGTTGCTTTTTAAATGGGGCAAACTCTTCTATTCTGGGTTGTGGCTGAACTTAAATATAAAACTGTTAGACTGAAATGAGTTTGCATTATTTTAATTCTCTGCACTAAATTTCTTCAGGATCTCATTAGAGTTTACAGAATGTGCCCTAGTTTTAACAGTTTTGACAGCCAGCATTATCCAGTAGAACTTTCTGTGATGATGAAAATGTTCTATAATCTTTTCTCTCCAGTAGAGTAATCACTGGCCACATGTGGCTATTAAAGCACTTGAAATATGGTTAGTGGAACTGAAGAACTGAAGTTTATTTAATTACAATTAATTTCACTTTAAATCATCACATATGGCTACTGTATTGGACCTTGTGGGTTTAAATAGTCTTGCTAATGAAAACTAACAATGTTTCATATTCTGTGGTTTATAAAGGACTTTGTCATTAGCTCTGTCCTGTTTCTCACCCATTTATGGTATTTGACAAACTTTTATCAAAAACTTCCATGCAGCTGTGAAGGATACAGTGGTGTATTAGATTGTGAATTAAGATGAGTAATGACAGTGCCTGTAATTTGAAGTTTAGCTAGATAATACAGGAAGGGACCTCCTGTGTTAAAAAATTCAACCTGATTCTTGAGGTTATTAACAGTATGGGTCTCCTTTAATGTATAAATTATAGGAGATAGAAAAGACACATAAAATGTAGTGTTGATTTTCTTTTTTTCTTTTCTGGTTGAAGTGGAGTTGACCTACAACACTATTAATTCTAGGTCTACAACATAGTGACTCAGAATTTCTATACATTTCAAAATGACCACCACTTGATTTTCATTGAATCTATATTTGAATGTAAATTGTGTTTTAGATTGGTGAATGACTACAGGTGGGAATGACAGTCTAGAAATCATTTTCAAAGAAAGTTAAAAAATTATCCTGATTTCTAAACTTGTCATGAACCCACTAAACTTGGACCCACCCTGTCCAAGTACTGTGGGAGAGAGAAAACATGGACCCTCTTAACAGAACAAAGTGAGAAGAATTCCTCAATTGGAAACAAACCTGAAGTAGTTAATCTTCCCCTGCATCTGTCTTCTCATCCTTGACACTGCTGACATTTTGGGCCTGTTAATTAGTGCTGTAGAAGGCCATTCATTGTTGGATACTGGCGGCAAAACTGGTCTCTGCCCACTAGGGGCCAGCAGCACCCCTTAGCTCTAACGGTGCATGGTATTTCCAGACACTGCCAGATGCCCCGACTGAGGACCACTGCTCTAAATGTTCTCTAGCTGCCTATCTGTGATCTACCGTTCTGTCTTTCTCTCTGTTCCCCAACGTCATTTCTGCAGAGCCCTAAAATACATTTGTTTTATATTTTGTCCAGAAGCGAGATGTTTTTGTGAAAGTAGGAGAATCCCTCAGAGTTTCTAGCCCAGCATACTGCCAGGAAGCAGTAGCTCTGATCACATTTTATAGATCAAAAAATAAGACTCGGAATAAATAGCCGATCGTTCAACTAGTGGTAGAGACTTGAACCTAAGCTTTTGTGTCCAGATAAGGAAGGCACCAAAGATGTGACTAGACCTGCTCCGATAGCAGCAGCACAGTTTAAAGATTAGAAATTTGGACCAGAGCTGGACTAGGGTGAAGCAAGTGAGATCCTAGAGTCCAAAACTTAAACTTTATATTTAAAGGACATTTACTGTCAGGGTCCACTGTTCCTGACTCCATGTCTGGTAACACTGGAGTTCAGATTGCCTGGATTGTACTGTGGTTTTGCTTACTGTTAGCTGGTGATCTTGGAAAAGATACTAATATCCTGTTCCTCGGGTTCTTTCTCTGTGAAAAGGAGATGATGATGTCTATTTTAAAGAATTTTTGTGAAAAATGAGTTGGTACACATAAAGTACTTAACAGGTGCACATTAAGTTCAGTATTAGTCTAGTAAACGTGATCCTCAAATGCATATCCAAATCATTTTGGGAACAGAAAATGAATTTTCTCCATGTCTGATTTCAGAGACCTGGTGAAGATTGCTGAAGGAGGACTGCCAGAAATAATAGCTGTGTTGTTGGGGGAAAAAAGTACTATGAAAAAGAGGAGAAGAGAGTTATTTATATTTTCTAAGCTACCTGAATAATTAGCAAACAATTCAGTATTCTTGGTAGTCTTCAGGAGTATTAACATGGCTATTGTTGCCAAAAGAGTATTACATTATTTATAAAATATTTTGATAGATAAAATTATTTAAAAATGAAATTGGAGAGAAACAAAATATTCAACTGATTTGATTTTTGTGATATTGTAAGCTTAATGCTAAATATTTGTATGGTATTGTTTTTCACAGTACCTAGAAGAGTATCTGATACTTAGTAAATATGTATTCTCAGTGACCTGCTACTCCAACATCCTCTTCCTTTGCTCCCCCCAAAAGCAGCTGGAAGTGCATGCTTCCGTGTTTGCTTGTCATGACTAGTGGGCATCTTTGGCATGTAGTAAGCTAGAGGAACGTTGTATTTCCTGTATACTTCCTGTACACTTCCTGTAAACAGTTATATTCTGCCTAAAATGTCAGTCACATCTTTATCGAGAAACTATCTTAAAAAACAATACTTATTTTCCATTATCTTCTTTGAAATTAATATTAAATTTCTGTTTAATATTCTGTTCTTAGTCATTTTGTTAGGCCCTGAATAAGACATAGTCTTTGCCCTGAGGGAGTTCATAGTATAATAGAGAAGGAAGATTTAGTGCAAAGAGTGTATCAATAGAGATATCTCTAAGGTGTAGAAGTAGTGCTTTTTTTTCCCAACTATGACTTTGCCTTTGCATTCTTCAGTGAATTGTGTGCCAGTCATAAAGCAGTAGTTTACAAAGGTCTAAACATGAGATATGTATGCTGTATTTCGGGGAACTGCAGGTAGTTTGAAAAATAGAGTACAAGTTATAGTAGATGGAGAAGTTAACATAACTGCTTGAAGGAGCTGGAATGAGAAGGATTTTCTGGGGTGCTAGTTAAAAGACAGAGTTTTGGACTTTGCTTCAGAGAGTCTCACTTGATAGTGGTACAGTCTAACATTTAAAAAGAAAAATTTGCATTTACCAAAAAAAAAACCCACACTAAATTAACAAAAATGCATTAATGGGGTGTAGTTTGCAGTTTTTAAAGTATTGGTTTATACTTTAAAGCAGCAGCTCTTCATTTAGTGTACATAATAACCTGGACAGGTTATTTGAACAGATTCCTGGCTCTACCTTCACAGTTGCTGATTTGATGGGGGGAGGGGGGCGGAAGGGGGCGCTTAAAATTGGTATGTCTTAACAAGTTGCACAAGCTGGAATCAAGATTGCTGGGAGAAATGTCAATAACCTCAGATATGCAGATGACACCACCCTTATTTCAGAAAGTGAAGAGGAACCAAAAAAGCCTCTTGATGAAGGTGAAAGAGGAGAGTGAAAAGGTTGGCTTAAAGTTCAGCATTCAGAAAACTAAGATCATGGCATCTGGTCCTGTCACTTCATGGGAAATAGATGGGGAAACTGTGGAAACAGTGTCAGGCTACTTTTTGGGCTCCAAAATCGCTGCAGACGGTGGTTGCAACCATGAAATTAAAAGACACTTACTGCTTGGAAGGAAAAGTTATGAGCAACCTAGACAGCATATTAAAAAACAGAGACATTACTTTGCAAACAAAGGTCTGTCTAGTCAAGTTTCCAGTGGTCATGTATGGATGTGAGAGTTGGACTGTGAAGAAAGCTGAGCGCTGAAGAATTGATGCTTTTGAACTGTGGTGTTGGAGAAGACTCTTGAGAGTCCCTTGGACTGCAAGGAGATCCGATCAGTCCATCCTAAAGGAGATAAGTCCTGGGTGTTCATTGGAAGGACTGATGCTGAAGCTGAAACTCCAATACTTTGGCCACCTCATGCCAAGAGTTGACTCATTGGAAAAGACCCTGAAGCTGGGAGGGATTGGGGGCAGGAGGAGAAGGAGATGACAGAGGATGAGATGGCTGGATGGCCACACTGACTCTATGGACGTGAGTTTGAGTAAACTCCAGGAGTTGATGATGGACAGGGAGGCCTGGCGTGCTGTGATTCATAGGGTCGCAAAGAGTCAAACAGGACTGAGCGACTGAACTGAACAAGTTCCCAGGTGATACTGTGTTGGTCTAGGACCACTGATTTATAGAGGATAGATTGGAAGGACAAGTTTGCACTAAAATGTTGGTCTCTAAGGCAAGGATTTTTGTCATATTTGTTCACTCTGTTCTCAGTGCCACTAACAGTGTAGCATATGAAAGATACCCAATAATTATGTGTAGAATGTATGATTTGAAGTAGGGTAGGGAGCTCAGTTGTCTTATCATTAACAGTTTGCAGTAATACTGATGGGAGGAAAGGACTTGAACTGGGATCATAATAGTAGGGATAGATTGGAATAATGCTTTGGACAGGAAATCAACAGTGATAATAGGGTGTCAGGATAGATTCTGACTCACAGATCATTGAATTGGGAGGCTAGATGAGAAGTGGTAAACAGCGCTTAGCACATAATGTGTATTCATTAATATTTGCCTTTGTCATGGAAACTTCATTGAAGTGAGGGGTCAGGATTACAATGGGGAGACCAGTTGGAGGTGCTAAAACTGAAGCTTTAAATTTAGAAAATTATGGTAAAGACTTGTATCTTAAAAGCTTAATTAATAGTACTTTTTTCCAACCTGAGTTTGGCCTACAAGAAGTAAGGTTTTGTGTTAGAGTAGAGAAAAGAAGTGTGGACAGTTTGGGTGATAGACTTGTTTGGGAGGCTTACTATGTAGCCTTACTGCATAATACATTTAGAGTGTATCTTACACTGTATAGTATATTTTATTCAATGTGTAAGCCTATTGTATTTTGAAGCCTCACATGAGTTAGACAATATCCAAAGAGCAGATCTCAGGGGAGAAAACAAAGCATCCATAGAGTCTTGTGTACAAAATGATGGGATTAAATTTGATGTGTATGTTTAAGGAATGGTTTGCAACTTTCTTGCACAATTTTTTAAAAGTGGTCTATAGATTGAACATTGAACCTTGTAGAGAGGAAATGTATTTGGGAGAAGGATGAAATACTTGTAAATATTTTCTTACTTTTTTTGCCCACTTTTTTTTTTTCTCCTTCATCACAGAAACTGTCCTAGGGTTAGATGAGAAAATAGAAGTGGTTAAGCAAAAAAGGATTGTCAACCCTTGTCATAATGAAAGAGGGAAGGGAATTTCAAGAAATGTGCAGGGTTGAGAATACCTTTCAAAGTGCATTAAGAATTATTTCCCCTTGTGTAGGATTGGACAGATAGAAAAGTAGATTTTCTAACTTGAGAACTGCCTTTGTAATGTTTCTCATAGTTCAAGGAAAGATGGATTTGTGTTTTACATGTTATTTAAAAGTTAGGAAAGAAAGATTTCCATAAAATAGATAATGATTTGATATTAAAAAGGATGATTTTTTATTGCTGAAAAATTGCTTATATGGAACTGGTAAATATAGAATTACTATACAAAGTTTGTTGAAGATACAGAAAGAACGAAAAAAAATTCTTCATAGCAAAATGAGTAGCAAAAAGCAAAAATGAGGTTTGATGCTTTAAAAATTTGTTTTCATAGTTGTATACACTTGGGTCAGAATTAGAGATTTGCAGGGTTTGTGGTTTTATCAGTTTTGAAAATGGAAGAATTTTATAAACAGACTAATAAAGTATGTTTTATCCACATGTCCAGATCTTCCCTGACTCTTACTTAGAAATATTTAATGTTCTTTGCCTCAGTTATGGGAGAATAAACTAATGCAGTCTAGGGCTGTAGATGGATTTCATTCAGAAGAGCAGCAGCTTTTATTGCAAGTTCAACAGCAACATCAGCCCCAGCAGCAGCAGCATCACCACCATCACCACCATCAGCAAGCTCAGCCTCAGCAGACAGTACCTCAGCAAGCGCAGGCCCAGCAGGTCCTTATTCCTGCATCCCAGCAAGGTGAGACTGGGTAACCCTACTACAGCTTGGAAGTGAAAGCTGTCATTTCCAGAGAAGAGAAATACTCCGCATGTCTCCTTTCTGTTGGCTGAGGGGTTGTATCAGTGTGTGTCTATATATATGATGTGGGTCCTATTTGTGTAATAATGAAGAGTAATTCACTAACAGAAGCCTAAAATGATATTTAGGTTAAGTATATTAATACTTTGAGAGGGCTACACAATGGTGAATTTCCTAAAAAATCTACAAGTTTATTAAGAGTTTCATTATTTTATATAGTAGAATCATTATCTTTATGAAACTGATTGTTCCCTCAAAGATATTTCACTTTAGTTTTTATTAATAAACACTGGAGGATTTTTGTTAATACACTTCGGCAGTCTGAAATTCAAATTCCCATTTATGAGAATTGACTAGATTAGATTTCCTTTAAAGAGCGGATATATGACATCTTGTATGATTTTGCATGGTTTACAGATGAGAAAAAACAAATATTTATAGTCTGTGTCTGAAGTGTTTTTGTACTGTGCAAGTCATGTTAAAGATTTTGTTTCATTGAAGCCTCTTAAAGGCTTTGTGAAATAGCTCTTAAAAATCACAAGTGAGGAAAACCTCAGCTCTGAAAAGTCTTAGAAGCTTTATCCTCTACATGGAGTATTTTCTGTCATGACAAAACAGTTCAGCTGTAAAACTTACTGGGCATTCAAGTTACGTAAATCAGAGAGGAAAATGAAGGTAAAATGAAAACTTCATTTTAAGGTAACTGTTTTGCTCACTTGCCTCACCTGAGAGTTTATATGAGACTGGAAACTGATATTGATGCATATTAGAAATGTTTGTTTATTTTACTGTTTGTATCAAATAAGATTTAATATTTGATTTTATTCTGTACCTTATACTAAGTAACATTGTCCTTTTAATTTTTTTTTGATGGCTGTTCCTCCTGTTGCCTTCAGGTCTGGCACTAGGACTTTAGGTCATCATAAATTAAAATTTGATTTTCTTCACTCAGAGAATATTAGGATAATGGAATTATCTGTTTATTCTCTGAAATTTGCGGAATCAAACACCTAGTTCTTTTTATATCACCATAAGTATTATTGCCATTATTTATGGGTTGTGTTTTTTTTCTTAAGCTGAAGAAATAAGATTCTGGAAACTTTCAGATTGGGAGAAAAAGATATTTAAAAGCTAAATTATAACTTTCTGAGTTCACTCTGAATGAATTAATAACACATTCAGCAGTAATATATTAATAATATGGTTAATGCTGAGTTGGCAAGACAGTATTAAATTTTCTAGTTTAAGAATGTACAGAAGGCTTCCCTGGTGGCTCAGTGGTAAAGAATCTGCCTGCCAGTGTGGGAGCCTCGGGTTTAGTCCCTGATCCGGGAAGATGATGTGGCCAAGCACTGAAGCCCGTGCGCCACGACTGTTGAGTCCTTATCTAGAGCCTGGGAGCTGCAGCTCCCAAGGCCCGCACCCCTAGAGCCATGCTCCCCAACAGGAAAAGCCGCCACGGTGAGAGCCTGGGTACCCGGAGAGCAACCTCTGCTCACCACAGCTGGAGAAAAGTCCACGTAGCAACAAAGACCCAGCATAGCCAGAAATAAATACATGTATATTTCTATTAAAAATTTTATGTTTAGGTGTTAGGTATCTCATTGCTTTATGTTTCCAGGGTCCCTTGTATCCTTAGGTATTTGTTAACTCAAATCTTTTAAATTGTGGTTTACAGTAGGAGGGTATACTACGGCTGTTATTTACCATAGAAGTTTGTAACATTCTAAGATGTCAGATGTTTGGACAGCATGAAAAAGAATTTCAGTATGGTATAGCCTTCTTATGAAATAGCCTCATTGTCCATTGTCTCTCTGTGTGCTTATGTTTTTTATAGCTGCAGCACCACAAGTTATTGTTCCTGATTCTAAGCTGATACAACATATGAATGCATCAAACATGGTAAGACTCAGAACACAGTTCTTTGCTTGGCTCTATTTATTCTAATCCAAGTTGTGATTATGCTTGAGTATGTTGTGTTAACATCTTGAAGTTTTGTTCAAGACTTGAGCAAAATACCTGTTTTGCTGGGTTTCCTAAGTATTCGATTTAACAGCAAATCTAAAGTTTAACTTGATACTTAGACAATTAAGATTCATAAAATTACATAACTTTCTGTTGAAGATACCAAAAGGATGATGCTTTGTGGGAGCTATTTTTGAAAATAGGTTTAGGGGACCTACCAAACATTATGCCAAGTATAGTTATGTTTCAGAAGATATATTAACTGAAAGAGGTTAGGAATGTTAAGAATTAGAAATTTTATTAAATGAAAATAAACTGTTTGAATAAAGATACCTAGTATCGTTAAGATCAGACATTTACAAATTCTGCTCTGATTTAACGATAGCATTGCCTAATAAGTTTTATTACAGTATATAAATTGCTATTTTAAAATACATTTTAGCCTATTGAGTTTATTATACATAGACTTGATATTTCTAAGGGATAGCCACTGAACTTCATAAGTCCTCAAATTTTCACATTTCACTTAGCACATACATTGTATCCCATCAGATATAACTGTAAAACGGAAAGAAACACTAAAATAAAGTTGAATTACCACAGTTGTTCCAGCATTTTCTTGTAGATGGCTTTTCTTTTGTTTAAAATACACAGACTGTTAGTGGTATCTCAGCTTTGGCACTCCATTCTTAAATTCAACCAAATCTTTTTATTTAAGAATCATTATTTTAAATAGGATTTCTTAGTTTAGTGCTATCTATGAGATTTTTTTTTTCTGATCCAAGTTTTTTTTTAAATGAAGAAGCAATTAAAAAAAAAATCAGTTTCTGTATTTTGTGAATGGTGAACAGTGAACCTGAAAACTCATTTGTGTTTTATAAGACATACAGGAAGCAGCACTTACATGCCAGACAAATGACTTCTATCTACTGATACATACTAGCCTTAACACATATATAACTTTACAGAATTTTCCAATTATGATAGGAATTGGAATTGTTAATTCACAAAAAATCAAGAATCTCTATTTGTACTTCTAGTACAGGTTGCCAGAGTCAGTTATTTTGGGTAAAAATCACAAAAGTCCACAGCTGTTGATTCTAACACATAGTTTTGTTATTTTAAAAAAAAATTTCCTTTCAAGTTTCAGGCACCAAAATTTCTTTTTAACTTCCACCCTTAAAAAGAAATCTCAGATTTTCCTGGTGGTCCAGTGGTTGGGAATTTGCCTGCCAGTCCAGGGCACACGGGTTTGATCCCGAGTCCAGGATTTCCTCATGCCGCGGGGTGGTTCGCCTTGTGCTCTAGAGCCCGCGAGCCACAGTTGCTGAAACCCACACACCCTAGAGCCTGAGCTCTGCACCGGGAAAAGTCACTGCAGGGAGAAGCCTGCGCACTGCCCCTAGAGAAGAGCCCCCACTCAGCAACTAGAGACAGCCTGTGTGCAGCGATGAAGAGCCAGTACAGCCAAAAATAAAATTAAAAAAATTTCTAAACAAAAAAGTCTTACTGTAGGATCCATATTATAGTACTATTGAAGCTGTTTACTAGGGAATAACTTGTATAACTGTAAAACAGAAAGTTTGGCAGAATCACTTGTAGTAGGCCCGTCTAATTTTGAAGAATTTTTAGTGTTGTGGGAAAGAATTTTGAATTAAAATTGTCTTTAAAAGGGCTGGCAAAATTAATGGCCCATCTCTGACTAGTTGTGTCTCCTTGATTCTAAAGAGCATATGTATTTAGACAGATCATAGGTCAGACTTCAATCAATAAAATGTGCTAGCATTTATATATATTTCAGTGTTTTACTTGTTTTCAGTTAGTGTTTGCTCCATGTGTTTCTCGGCTTCCCTGGTGGCTCAGACGGTAAAACGTCTGCCTGCAATGTGGGAGACCCAAGTTCGATCGCTGGGTCAGGAAGATCCCCTGGAGAAGGAAATGGCAACCCACTCCAGTACTCTTGCCTGGAAAATCCCATGGACAGAGAAGCCTGGTAGGTTACGGTCCATGGAGTCGCAAAGAGTCGGACATGATTGACTTCACTTTCCTTTTCCTTTCCATGTGTTTCTCATGTTCTAAAATGTAATCAGTATAGGCTCTTAAAAAAAAAGTTTTTTGGATTTTTTTATGTTTGCATTACTATTCCTGATTCAAGGATATCCATTAAGAAGTTCGATTTTTAAAAAAAAATTTTAATAGCTCTTTGTGCTTTGGAAATGAACATAGTGAAGAGTTAAGATATGAAATACTGATAATGTGTATGGTAGAAGGCTGTTTCAGGGAACTTATAAAACAGGACCTTATATCAAACTAGTTTGCAGGTTCTCTTTATGAAATTATTGCTCAAATGCATTATTCATGTTAGGGCCTTTTCACAAGATACAGGAACTAACTTTCAGCAGGCATAAGAAAGATGGTTTGTGTATGATGTATGTGTGTATACTTACTCAGTTGCTTAGTCATGACTCTTTGTGACCCTGTGGGCTATAGCCTACCAGGCTCCTTTGTCCATGGAATGAATTCTCCAGGCATAAAAATATTGGAGTGGGTTGCCATTTCCTACTCCTGGGGATCTTTTCAACCCAGAAATTGAACCCACATCTCTTGTGTCTCCTGCACTGGCAGGCAGATTCTTTAGCACTGCGCCACCTGAGAAGCCCATGTGTATGATATATCACAACAGATATCTATAGCAACTTGAATGTGCGGAGGTATGCAGGTGGTTATTGTGTCATGTATGCTATAAGGAAAATGGTAGGTCAGTTTGCTAGTAAAGTGAGATGTATTAATCTTATAAATTGTGAATTATAGGCACTTAACATTCCTAAGTAATATTTCTCAATACTGAGTAGTTTTTAGTATATTACTTAAATTTAGATTACCTTTCATTTGCTTATATAGACAAGGTTTATTTAAATCTTTCATTTATTTAATAAAATGAAATGCAGAAGCTGCATTTTATAAAGAGAACCTGGCAAGCTGTAGCTGAATTTGGAGGATATAATGGGAATTTCAGGCTTGAAATATATTTAGGGCTGTCAAATGGCAGCAAGCATATTTTCTTGGAAGGCTGTTCCTAGAGCCTAACTAGATAGTTGTATCATTAACCTACTTCAGTATAATTTTCCAAGATTTGTTGGCTTCTCGAAGATTAGCATCTCCAAAGAACATGTTTATTTCTTGAAGTGTGTTCAAATAAAAGTGTTAGTCGTTCAGTCCTGTCTGACTCTTTGCAACCCTGTGGACTGTAGCCCACCAGGCTTCTCTGTCCGTGGGATTCTCCAGGCAAGAGTACTAGAGTGGGTGGTGAATCCCTTTACCCAGGGGATCTTCCCGAACCCTAGTCTCCTGCAATGCAGGCAGATTGGTGGGCTGTGCAAATTTTAAAGGAATTCTCCCTTGATTCACTAACCTGTGTTGTCCCTGCCCTGGCCCCCAGAGGAAGTGGAGGGAGGTGGGTACTCACATAAAAGTGTTTATAACAATCTATTCTTTAGATTGTATATATGAGCTTGGTACCTTAAAGAAGGTTGAAGCGTGCTGCATGCTAAGTCACTTTGGTCATGTCCAACTCTTTGTGACCTCATGGACTGTATGTAGCCCATCAGGCTCCTTTATCCGTGGGATTCTCCAGGCAAGAATACTGGGGTGGATTTCCATGCCCATCACCAGGGGATCTTCCCAACTCAGGGATTGAACCCCTGTCTCCTGCAGCTCATGCATTGCAGGCAGATTCTTTACCACTGAGCCACCAGAAGCCCCAGAAAGGGTTGAAGGGGAGGGGAGGGAAGCTACTGTTGTATAGTTTTATAGTTATAGTATAGTGAGATACATGGAAATGGGCTTCCCAGGTTTCACTAGTGGTAAAGAACCTGCCTGCTAGTGCAGGAGAATTAAGAGATGAGGGTTTGATCTTTGGGTCTGGAAGGTCCCCTGGAAGAGGGCATGGCAACCCCTCTCAATATTCTTGCCTGGAGAATCCCCCTGGACAGAGGAGCCTGGCGGGTTACAGCCTATAGAGTTGCAAAGAGTTGGACATGACTGTAGTGACAGCATGCCTGGGTTTACATGGAAATACTTAGAGCTCAGGATTTTTCTTTTTTTTACAAAAAGGAAAAACAGTAAAAATGTATAATTCTTTTGGGGGGAAGGGGAGAAATCTCTTGAAGCAGTAAATCAAGAATTTATCCGGGATTTAAAAACATTCAGAGTATGTAATTCCATGTATATTTTATAACTTAAAGTCAGAAAGTAACTCCATTTTAAAATGCAGACATTAATTTTTGTGACTCAAGATTTTTAAGTTATTTTTTTATATTACTAAAACTGTTAGTAATACATGTTTCACCTTGATAATGCCAGTGTTGTCACCTTATGCCATAAGTATATCTTCATTTCAGAAATCTTAGTGTTCTTAATTTATACCATAGTTAAAAACTCTCTATTAAGAAAATCTTTTATCGGAAGATTGCAAATCTTAGAGATGCCAGATAAGAATTGCAATCTTCTGATAAAAGATTTTCTTTAGAGACTTGTTAATTATGGTATAAATTAAGAATATTAGGATTTCTGAAATGAAGATATACTTTTGCCACTAGTATATTAATTGACAATAAGGAATTGGGGGTAAGGAAACAGAATAAGAAAGAAATAATGGAATGGATATTTTATTTATTGTACAGCATTGCTAGTGGGTTAGAGTTCCTTCGCATACATTCTCCAGGAGCAGAGAACCTCCTAATTATATTATTCTGCATAATTGCTTGAAATAATTAGGTAAGATATTTAGGCTTATTGGTCTTTATTGTACCATTTTATTAATTGGGAGGTAGTCTTATTGCCAGAACTTTTCATTTTCAGTTCAGTTCAGTTCAGTCACTCAGTCGTGTCCAACTCTTTGCAACCCCATGAATCGCAGCACACCAGGCCTCCCTCTCCATCACCAACTCCCGGAGCTTACCCAAACTCATGTCCATCGAGCGGGTGGTGCCATCCAGCCATCTCATCCTCTGTCGTCCCCTTCTCCTCCTGCCCCCAATCCCTCCCAGCATCAGGGTCTTTTCCAATGAGCCAACTCTTCACATGAGCTGGCCAAAATATTGGAGCTTCAGCTTCAGCATCAGTCCTCCCAGTGAACACCCAGGACTGATCTCCTTTAGGATGGACTGGTTGGATCTCCTTGCAGTCTTCATTTTAGTATATTCTAAATGAAACTTCACATGCGATTAATAAATGCCAGAGGTAAACCGAGGTGCTGTTACGCACATCCATATTTTGATTGTGTTCTTTTCAGAGTGCTGCTGCTACAGCTGCAACCTTGGCACTCCCTGCTGGTGTGACTCCTGTTCAACAGATACTGACAAACTCAGGTATATAGAAATAACTGTCACTTATGTAATGCAGAATGTGGTACCATCTAGCCTTAGTTTTGTCTTCATTGAAAGACAGAAAATTGCAATACTTCTTTTATCATTTGGCTTACATTATTAAAATAAGATGATTTGAGGGCTATAGCTTATTAAACCATGGTCACTGCTGAGAATGCAGTAGAGAAGATGAGAATTGCACTTGAACTTTTGATCCACTAATGAAACCCTATTTCTTGAATAGAGTATGATTATCTAGAATGCTTATTTCACTTGGTCTTTTTTCTAAATGCATTTAACTTGCCAAATAATTAAAGTTTTACTCTAAATTTAATTTAAAACCTGCCAAATTAAGCTTAATTCATTTGAACTAATTTTGTGTCATTAAACTAAATCCTATAGTACCTTACTATAAAATAGCAAAATTTATTGCATTCTATTTTATATAGTATCTCTCTATAGGTTGGCAAAATTTACTTCTGGTAATAATGTTTGAAGAATTTATTTATCTGGATTTTAAGTATTTTCTTTGTAATCTTAATTACACGATTTCTTGTTATTTTGTTAATTTCTTAATTTTTGAAGAACAGACTTAGGAGCTTATCTTGCTGCATATTTTAATGAAATATAATTGCTTGCTACTTAATTCAAGATTCTGAGTTATCTAAAACAATATTTTAGAGGATTTTGCATAAACCAATCATAGTGTTATATGGCATTGATAATTGGTTCAGCAAACTCTTGCTTTTTTTCATGTTGAAGCTAAGTTAATGCAGTGCTTTGGTTCAAGATGTTAGTGCTTTATTATACTTTTGTTTCTTTAAAGCTATAAAAATGAACAGCCCCTGAAATGTTTGGTCTTACTTGTTCTTTCATGACTTATTAGCAAAGATAAATTATTCTTTTAATCATTTCATATTCTGTTGTTAAAACTTTGTTGGAAAACAGCTTTATCAGGAAAATAAAGTATTTTAAGCAATGTATTTCAGCATATCTGGAAGTCAGAGAAGGTGAGGATTATAGTTTACTGTGTATAGATGACAGCCCTTAATGAAATTGTTAATCTTCTTACTCAGTAATTTCTGACATTCACTATGGGCTGTCATTCACTATGAATTTGTTTATTTTGAGGTGGTCACTGCTGAACTGGTAACTTGGAATGCATACTTTTTGCTTTAGGCCAGCTTCTACAAGTGGTCAGAGCAGCCAATGGTGCCCAGTATATCTTTCAGCCTCAGCAGTCAGTGGTTCTGCAGCAACAGGTCATACCGCAGATGCAGCCTGGTGGAGTACAAGCGCCTGTGATACAGCAGGTAAAAATCTTCTAAGTTCTGACCACCATGGGGTTCTTCTGTCTTCTGGGTGCTTCCCATTCCGTTTTCCACAGCTTTATCTGTACATATTCTTAGGCTCTTCTCCAGTACTACGCAATCTGTCATTCTGAATTTCTCCTGTACACCTCACAGCTTAACTTAGGTTCAGTATGTTTGACTAAATTGTTATCTCTACTAATGCTTTCTCCTCTCCCCCCACCCCCACCTTCCTTTTTATATGTGGCACCACTCTCCATCCAGCCTCCTAAGCTAGTTACTCAGCATTCATTCAACACACATTTACTGGGTGGCTATTTATCAGGATCTTTACAAGAGACTAAAGACTTAGGAGCTTAGGAGTGAACAAAGCAGGAACTCGTCTAGTTTCATGGCACTTATGTTTTGTCTGGGAGGGGGTACATGGTACTCCCTTTTGCTTTACCTCTGGTGTCTAAGGTACCATGAAGTTCTGTCAATTCTTAATAGTTCTTTTTTTCAGACTTCAGTTTAAACATGTTTTCAATCCTTGAATATGTTTGAAGCTAGTTTTGTTTTCCCATACTCCCTTGTCATTTTCTTAGTTCATGCTCTCATCATTTCTCACTTAAAATACTATGTTATCCTCTTGATTTCCCTGCCTCCAGTCTTATGCCCTCTTAAGTTGACTGGCACTCTATTTATAGTCATTGTTCTAAAAATCTTTAAATGTTCTAATGATTTCCCATTGCTTATTGGAAAACGTGTAAATTTCTCAGCATGGGTTATAAGATCTTTTTTTGTGATCTTGATTTTTTTTTTAATCTTTCCATGTTTATTTTTTGCCATGCTTCCAATCGTTACCTGCTTCAGCTGCTGTTTATATCAGTGTTGACAGATACTTGCATCTGCTTGTGTACCAAGTGTTAAACACTTGTGTGAGGACAAAGGTGAAAGAGAAACAGTTATTTTCTTGAGGATCTTGTGTACTGTGAAAAAGAGGCAGACACAAAAACAGATGCTGTTAATATGGTAGTATGATGAGGGAGGTCAGGTCAGAGGAGTTGCATTAATCCAACCTGTTCACAGCTTTCGCAGTTTTGCTCTGCTGGTCCTTCTGGGTTTTCCCTTGATGCCAGTCTGTTTAGAATGCCACCTTTGGCCTTCCTTCTAGCAGTTCTCCCCCCACCCTCCCCAACCTGGGCAAACAGAGAAGGCCTGCCTAATCTCCCAAAACACAAATAGAAACTCTAGTATTACCTACTAGAGAAACTTTCTTGACCAGGTCTTGTCCCCCATAGCTGAGTTTAATACTCTTTCCTGTCATCTCATATGCTATATCATATGTCTCTTACATCTTCTGTCCTTTTGAGTTGTTATTGCTTTGTCTATTGCACTATTAATCTGTAAACTTCTGAAGAGAAATACTGTCTTGTTATTTTTGCTTTCCTTGGACCTAGTGACAAGGAGTTGCCACTTAGTACTTTTAATTTATAACTGGGTATGCTCTGCTTTTTACTTAGTAACTATAATTATAAATATGCCCATTATAACAGATATAATTAATGTTTATTAATATGTTCTTTTTGAGCTGTGATTTACTTCAGAACCCTAGAATGCAGAAGCTGGAAGGAACTTTAGAAATCATCTGACCTGGTGGTTCACAACTTTGGTTATATGATTAGAATTATCTGGGAAACTTTAAATAAAATGAATAGATGTCATCTCATATCAGTTAAATCAGAATATTAGGAGTAGAGACCTAGGTATCAATATTTTTAAGTCTACAGGTTGTTAGAATTTGTAGCAGGGTTGAGAACCATTGCTGTAAACAGTGAAACGTGAGGTTAAATGACTTGCCTCTGCTGCATTTTTATCTGTGATCTTAGAACTGGAACCCAAGGCTTCAGTTTCCAGATCAGTGTTCTTCATAGGGTGAAAGTGTAGCATAATACTAAGAGCAGAACCAGAAAGCCTAGGTTCATGTTTTGTCTCCTAGTGACTTGATTGCAAGCTTTGCAAGTTATTAAACCTCCATACCTCAAGCAAATAAACTAATAACGTGTAACTCTTGGCCTGGAATCTGAAATATACATAATAGCAAGTACTTGATAAATACAGCAACTTTAATTTAAAAAAAACTTTTTCTTTAGAAATTTGAATGGTAAAATGAAAATTTAGTGGATCCGTAGACTCACTAAACATTCCTCTTATGCTTTGGTGGTTTTTACCTGTATGTGAGATATGGGTATTTGAGGGTGACTCTTTCCCATTGGGGCCTGTTTCTGTGTATCAAATGATGAATCTGAGCAATTTGATCCTCCAACTATTCCTAATAGGTAGTTTTTCTTTTGTCTTAGGTCTTGGCCCCTCTTCCTGGAGGAATTTCACCACAAACAGGTGTCATCATCCAGCCCCAGCAAATCTTATTTACAGGAAATAAGACTCAAGTTATACCTACAACAGTGGCAGCACCTACACCAGCACAAGCACAGATAACTGCCACTGGCCAGCAGCAGCCACAGGCCCAGCCTGCTCAACAGCAGGCTCCGTTGGTGTTGCAAGTTGATGGAACTGGGGATACGTCATCTGAAGAAGATGAAGATGAAGAAGAAGACTATGATGACGATGAGGAGGAGGACAAAGAGAAAGATGGAGCTGAAGACGGGCAAGTGGAAGAGGTCAGTTTTTAGTGAAGACGTGCAATGAGGACCTGCTCAGCTGTTTCTGCTTTCACTTGGTGCCAAACTGATGAATTCTATGTTTTTAGAGGCTTTTAGGGTACTATACAATGTAAGATTTTAAATAGTTAAATTATTAATAAGATTTTTAGATTGTTCTGGATGTATTTATAAAGTATTTCTGTAGCTGGTAACAAAAAGCAAATGTATACCAAATTAGGTTTTACTTATAAATGTGATGACAGTGCAAATAATTCTAATTCTTTGACTTAATACATTCATCACGATGTAGCTTAAAGGTAAGACATTGGTAGAACCAGGTAGATGTGGTTCATCTTTTCCTTCAGTAATTTAAAACAGCATTTGGGAAGAGAAGACACTTCAGAGTTAAAATGTTCCATATTCCATACCAGTTCCTTAGATAACCTCACTGCCCTTATTGTCTTATCTGCAGTTTAACATACCGTTCTTTCTTACTCATCTTTTGTTGTGTATTTCTAGAAGTATATAAATATATCTTTGTTTTCCTCAGTGCTCCAGCTTAGGTACTTATAGTCAAGATGGTGTTTGTCTTAACCACAGTTTTCACTGTTACTGCCTCCTACAACAACCTAAGATGTGATCTTCCGGTTTATTTTCTTTCTTCTTTTAAATTATCTAAGTAATGTTTTTTAAAGAATACTATTTTATTAAATACTGAACAGATAAAACAAAAAGTATTTTATGGTGTAAACAACCCAATGTCTGCATCTAGTTAAAAAAAAAAAATCCCCTTACCTAACATAAAGTTCCCTGAGGGCCCCTCCCTAATCCCTATCTTCTTCCTTCTACCATCAGAGTATCCTTTCTCACGAATTGTATGTTCATCACTACCTTGCCTTTATATTTTACCATAAGTATTTATATTCCTAAGGAGCTTATTGTTTAGTTTTTCATGCCTTTTTAGAAGTGGAATAATTGTGTATTCTTCTGCAAGTTTATTTTTTTTCCAAGGTGGTATTCTTGAGGTTCATCTAAGTTGTTGCATATACGTATAATTATTTTCACTGTTAAATGTTAAAAATTTATCCATTTTTGTGATACATTGGGCATTAGGGTTGTTTCCACTTGTTAACTGTTACAATTATGAAATATTCTGGAATAAGTCTTCTAGGGACACATTCAAGTGCTATACCTAAAGATTGAATTGCTGAGTCATAAGGCATGCATATCTTCAAGTTACAATAAAATGCCACAATGTTGTACTAATTACACTTCTGGCATTCGATATATAATGGTGCATGGGTCTGTGTATGTCTTCACCAGTACTTGATGTTGTCAGGCTTAATTTTTTTGCCAGTTTGGTAGGCAGAAACTTTCGTTTTGATTTTTCCTTGATTAATGATGAGCAGCAAAAGGCTTCTGCTACACCACTTTTTTTTTTCAATTTTCTTTTTTGTTATAAACACCATAGCAAATTTTAAAAAGCTCTTTGAAAAGAGAAACATATCATAGTTCTTGATTTCCCGAGTGTACTTAATACCTACCCACTCCTTCCCTGTACACAGCGGGATGATCAAAAGAAACAGGATTTTCAGGTGGGGGTGCCAGCGGCCATGCTCATCTTTATTTACTGGGTAGCCTCTTGACTCTTTCATGTTTTCTTTGTAAGCAGTCATCAAGTCAAATGTGAAAAAATTGCAGTTTTTCTTGCCTAGTTGGCTAAGTTCTGTAATATTGGTTAGAAATGGTGACAGTGGTGATAATTGCACATACTAAGTGCAAATTGTACACTTTAGAATGGTTAAAAATGGTGAAATTTACCTCAGTAAATTTTCTTTTTACATTTACATTAGTGATAACTATTTTGAATTACAGAATATATATACATATACATGTGTGTGAGTAGGTACAGGCCTAGAGACTTAAAGTCTTTCTTTTTTTCTTAAATTGGAGTATAGTTGCTTTACAATGTTGTGTTTCTCCTATACAGCAAAATGAATCAGCTATGTATATACACATATCACCTCTTTTTTTGGATTTCCTTCCCATTTAGGTTACTACAGATCATTGAGTTTTGTGCTATATAGTAGGTTGTCATTAGTTATCTGTATTATACATAATAGTGTATATATGCAAATCCCAATCTGTCCTGCCCCTGCCTTCCCCTTTGGATACATATGCTTGTTCTCTTTGTCTGTTTCTGCTTTGCAGGTAAGTTCATCTATACCATTCTTCTAAATTTCATGGTTCATATACAGTATTTGTTTTGATTATTTTTCTTTCTATTTTTATTTTGCCCTAGCTTCTCTTCTTCATTAATTAGAAATTAGAGTTGTATGTTTTATTTTCTGTCACAACTGAGGTTGAGGTTAACTTGATTGGTCGTTTTATGCTCTAGCTAGATCTTGGCATTTTAATTCTCTTTGTTATTGGGATCAAGATCCCCCCCTTCTTTTAAAATGTGGTTGCCTTAGTTATGCTTTAAGCCTCCACCAGTAGATGTACTAATTTGTGTTCATAGTGCTAGTCTTTAAAGACTGGCTAGACTGCCAGCTTTTTTCATGTCCTTGTTTTCCTCTGCCAGCGTCGCCGGTGTGTTCTTTTTTACGCAGCTGCTTCTGGTGGTACACAATACCATTGTCTCATTAAATCATCATATTTTCTTAGATCCATCTTTTCAGTCATACAAATTACATAGCTTAACTATTGGAATTACTATATTTAATTTCTTGCTGGAATTTCAGTGACACTGGCAGAATCTTAACACAGCCCATTAACAATGTGTTCATGGTATATGTGGATCTGTCTGGCCCTTGGTTCTCAAAGAACTTCAAGGTCACTCTGTTTCTTTTCAGTAAATATGAGAAGGACCTTTTTTTAGTAATACATGAAATATAAATAAATGAGTTCTCCTTTTTCATTTTTAGGAACCCCTCAATAGTGAAGATGATGTGAGTGATGAGGAAGGACAGGAACTCTTTGATACAGAAAATGTTGTTGTGTGCCAGTATGATAAGGTAAGAATTTAATCAGTTCTTTACTGTCTGAGCCCCCAGGGAAGCCCGTCATCAGTTACTAACGTTTCTGCTGTTGTAGTTTCTTCCTTAAACCATCCTGTCTGCTGTGTTCAAGAGTTTGGTTAGCTGATTGGTGCCTCTTAGAAATTTTAGTATAAACTGTGTGAATGAAAGCAGTGTTATACTTTAGTAGATTATTTTAATGGAGTGAGAAATTAATTTGTATAGCTTTATAGTTGAAAAATAAGTTATGAATGAAATCACAGAAAATATGTTGTTTTCAATTTAGACTATATCTCCCAACTTGTTAACAAAGTAAAGACACTTTATGGTTGTCTTTTAACATGAATATTAACTCAGTGGGATAACCCTGTTTTCCCTCTGACCTCAACTACTCAAAACTTAAAAGGCTTTAATTGGACCTTTCTATAACTTTTTGAACGAGGTTAATAAACAAGACTGGTAACTAACAAAAGATAAGTTTTTACTGAAAATTATTTTAAATTATTTAACTTTGCTGTGTGTAGTCCATGGGGTCACAGAGTCATACACAATGTGGGGACTGAACAACAAAATTTAGGTAGCAATAAAAATATTTTAAACTAGGTTCTATGAAAATTAACTACTGACTCCTTGATTTCTTAATTCTTAAAAGGGATGTTACTTCTCAAGTATTTTTGTTATAGTTTTGGCATTGTTGAGTTTTTTTGTTTATTGAAACATTTAATTCAGAATAAAATTTGTTTTCTGGCTATAGCCATTAAATTTATAATAAATACACAAATTTTATTTCATTTTTATAATTTAATTTCAGCAGATATCTTTACCAAGTATTGAAAACTATGACAGACATAGTTGGGTTTTATTTATAAGCACTTCTCATTCACTAAACATGTATTTATTAAGTGCCTTATTGTGTCAAGTACTGGAAGTGAAAGTCGCCCAGTCGTGTCTGACTCTTTGCGACCCCATGGACTGTCCATGGAATTCTCCAGGCCAAAATACTGGAGGGGGTAGCCTTTCCTTTCTCCAGGGGATCTTCCCAATCCAGGGGTCGATCTATATTCATATGATGCAAAATTTGTGCTCTTTATGCCCTCTTTTACAAATGATGAAAGTCTTAAATTTGCATTGCTTTTATAGAAATGAATATTATAAATAGCCATGTTTATTGCAAACAAATCTGTAGGAAAATTGTTTTAAAAAATGATTCTTATCATTTCCTAATGTAAAGGTAAAATTAAGCCAGTTAAATACCAGTGAAATTATAGAGAATTAGGTTAGTGAGGTCATTGATTCAGAGTATCAGGGCATTCACTTTTGTACGTTATGACTACTAAGTTAAGCACTCATAATACCCTATACCAAGCACATGATAATACAAGTAATTTCTTGTTACATGCATATGGAGGAAGAGTATTGAAGTTGAAACAACAGGAGATACCAGTAAATCTTTATTGTCAGGAAGACTCAAGGGAACCTGTTGACAGGCAAATTATCCAGAATGCAATATGGATAGCAGGATGTCAGATACATAAGAAAGGACCTTTACTTTAGCTCAACTGAGGAATATGCTTCTAAGTATTTTCATATTATAATAGACACTAGTATTCTCCTTTGTACACTTAATATTTTTAATGTTAAAATTGGTGTGTTTTGCTCATGGAGACAGTATTTTAATGTTTTAAAGTAAGAAGTTTAAAAATAACTTAAGTAGTGTGTTGTATGGTAAACAGTTTTAAAGTTTACAGAGATCTAATTTTCATAATCAAATGAGTTTTGGAAATTGGAGGGTTGATTCTTGATGTTTTAGCCAAAAGTGAAAGAATGGTGGTGTTCTAAAATGGGCTTGGGTGTAGTTTGAGGCAACTTGAACTTTAGGAGTTTATTTTTGAAGCCTAAATTTCAACAGTGAGTCAGTTTTAGCAGCAGTCATACAAAGAATTGATTGTGTTGCCAGTCATATGAGAGCTTTAAATCTAATAATGAGGCAGAGTTCTCACATAGTATGGATAGGTAAGGACTGATGGCATCAGGTGTTGAGGCATCAGCCTTGTTTGTAGATAGTGTTACTTAATATTTTTGTCATGAGGAAAGTTCAGAGGCCTTTTTCCTTGCACTCAGGATACTCCTTTATGCAGGACTTAATATAAGGCCAGTAAATGAATTGTTTTTCAAGTTATATTTTGTGATTTTATTCAAGTAAAAATATTTACTGCTTACTACTCAATATGACTTCAGTACTTAGTGTATGGAATATTACTTGATGCATATGATACTTTGTACATTTGCTTTCTGCAAGTTGTAAAAACTGCAGTTTCTTTACTTGTCTGTGGAATTCTTTTTTCGTGGCTGCTCACTGCTTGCTTATTTATTTAATTCCACATCTTTCAGCTTATCGTTACTTGTTTCGTACTAGAAATAAATGTATCTATCCATTTTTAGCATAATTAATATTTTCTCTATAGGAAGTCAAAGAGAAAAGGAAACAGAGATCTTTTTATTCAAAAAACACTTAATAGTGTCTGTGATGTTCCAGGGCACTCACTGTTCTAGGAGCTTGAGATAAGCCAGTGAAAAAACAAAACAGTCCCTGCCATTTGGAAGCTTACTCGAGTTGAGGGAGGCAAAGGCTGAAACATAACAAAATGATAAAACAAATTACAGTTAACTCAGTACAACACTGGGGCTAATTGCATGTAACTTAGAGGCAGTGCTCTGTATCTGTGGTTTGTCTATATATGTATAGTCATCCAACCACAGTCCATTTAATTCTGTAGTATTTACTATTGAAAAATACCTGTGTATAAGTTGATCTGTGCATTTCTAAACCCATACTGTTAAAGGTTCAACTGTAATATGCTATTTTAGAAGTTGATAATTAGTGTGGGTAATTACAGAGTGGGAAAGGAGACAGGATCAGAGTCTTTGATGAAAGTTATCCTTGTCATTATTTGGTGGCATAACCTGCCTACTTTGTGTGAGAAGCAGCGAGGAGGCCAGTGTAGCTGGCTAGCATGGGGGAGCAGCGTAGCAGTAAATCAGGTAAGAGGGGCAGGCGGTGTGGTGTAGGACTTTGTGAGGACATGGGCTCTCTGAGTGAACTGAGAAGCTCCTGGAAGGTTTCAAATATACAAAAGTGGTGTCACTTACATTTTAATCTTTTAAAAAATTGCTTTGTTGAGAACAGGGTATAGAAGAAACAAAGGTTGAAATGAGATTAATAGAGGGACATCATAGTAACCCACATGAGTGAAAATGGTGATTAAGACTAGGATGATAGCATTGAAAGTGATGAGAAGCAACTGGATCTTGGATGTTTCGAAGGAGGAGTCAACAGGGTTTCCTGACTCTTGTGTATGTGGCAGAAAATAAAAAAGAGAATCAAGAATGACTCCAGGATTTTTTTTTTTTTTTATGAGGAACTAGTCAGAAGAATGAAGATGCCATCAACTGAGATGGGAAAAGCTGCAGATGGAGCAAATTTAGGAGAGGAGAGTGGCTGGTTTGGGACATTAGTTTTGTATCTGTTAGATGTTAAAATCATCCATCCCAAGGTGTTAAGTGTAATAATGTAAGTAGTGTAATTAGACCAGAGCTGTAGGACCACTTGGGCTTCTCTGTCGGCTCAGTGGTAGAGAACCCACCTGCCAGTGCGGGAGACACAAGAGAAATGGGTGTGGCCCCTGGGCCAGGAAGGTCCCCTGGAGCAGGAAATGGCAGCCCCCTCCAGCACTCTTGCCTGGAGAATCCCACAGACAAAGGAACCTGACAGGCTTCAGTCTAGAGGAAGTCACAAAAGAGTCAGCCACGACTTAGTGACTAAGCAGCAACAAAATCAGACCACTTAATGTAAGAGGCTCTGTTCTGAATTCTGTTTCACTTTATTGTACTCTATTTTGCTTTAATAAATGAGAAAAGATTAAAATATGGTAAATTTATATATAGCTTAAGTTTTAGTGGTCTTAAGGAAGGGCATGAGAGTGGTTTTCAAATATATGAAGTATTCATTGTTTTTTAGATTAACTTCCAAAAGGCAGAACTGGGATCAATAAGTAGATGTTTGGGGTAAGCAGATTTTAGTAAGGGGTAAAGCATGAAAGACTTGCAAGGGGGCTGTCCCAGGAAGGGATAACTCAATTTGCAATTCTTCACCTTCCACTTTTGACCACAGTCAAGCAGACACTAAACAGTGATTTGCTAAGAATATGCATGGAGACTGTTTGCATGGGGATGTTAGACCATGGAGTTTTAGCAGTGGGATAAGAAGATGCCTGTACATAGTGAGAATTTCTGCATCATTATGGAAAACAGCCTGATAAATAGAAAGCATCTTGGACTGGAGCAAAAGAATCATCTTTGTCACTTAATTATGATATGTCATTGATCATCTCATTGAACTTCTCCAGGCTGTAATTTTCTCCTTTGAAAATGAAAGCCTGAAATGGGAGTGATGCTTACAATTGAAGGGAGAGAGTGAAGACCTGGAAATCAGTTAAAAAGTATTTTAATAAGTCGTATGACAAGAGGCTATTGATGTAGTAACTAGAAGATTATTAGTGGCCTTTTAGAAAACAGTTGCCAGGTGTCCTGAAGACAAGTAAAGTAGAATTAGAGATAAAATAATAATTAGAGAAATAATATTAGTATGAATTCTAATACTGGGGGGGGGCACAGTATTTAAAAAGTCAGCAATACGTAAGTTGTTAGTGTATGTGAGGAACAAGAGAGTAGTTGTAAGCATGATACCAATAATGAGAAAAAAATGTCCTGGTGGTCAGTAGATAGGGAGAATGAAGAAAAGCCTATGGTTAATTAAATTGTATAGACATAAAAGGAGTTACAGAGAAAAGGCAAAAAATAAAAAGTGTTCTAGAAGCATCAGGGAGAACAAAGGGTAGTTTTAAATATTTTCCTGTAAAAAATTGTATAGGAAATGACACATATATGCAGACCTGGTAGAGATTAAAATAATTTGCAGAGAAACATTATTGACTACTTTAATGAACCCAAATACTAAGAGCTATAAAATAAATATTATTAATTATAGATTTTTGAAAAATTCACCTAGTTAATTGATTTTTTTTGAGAGATACAGAGATTGTGTCAAACTATTAAAATACAATTTGACCACACACACACACACAGTTGTATGAAAATAGAAATCAGATGGAGATTAAATATGCTACTGACCTTGAAAATACCTTGAGACAAATGAAAATGGAAATACACCATACTAAACATGTAGAATGCAGCAAAAGCAGTTCTAGGAGGGAAGTACATAGAAATGCCTACATCAAGAAATAAGGGAAAATCTCAAATAAACAATCTAATTTTACACCTAAAGGAACAGGAAGAAGCCCAAAGTTAATGGAAAGCAGGAAATAACAAAGATCAGAGAGGGAATAAATAAGAGACTAAAAAGATAATAGAAATAAAGATCAATGAAACTAACAGCTGATTATTTGAAGAGGGAAACAAATTTGACAACCCTTTAGTGAGACTCAAAAAGAGAAAAGAGGATTCAAATAAAATCAAATGAAAGAGATGTTAACAACTGATAATAGAAATACAAAGGATCATATGAGACCACTGTGAACAATTATACTTTAACAAATTGGACCATATAGAAGAAGTGGATAAATTCCTAGAAACATAAAACCTTCCAAGACTGAATCATGAAGAAATAAAAAAACTGAACATACTGATTACTGGTAAGAAGATTGAGTCAATAATCAAAAACTTCCCAATAAACAAAAGTCTAGGACCAGATGGTTTCACTGGTACATTCTACCAAACATTTAAGAAGAATTAATACCAATCCTTTTCAAACGCTTTGAAAAAAAATAGAAGAGCATGAAACATTTTAAAACTCATTTTACAAGACCAGTGTTACCTTGATACCAAAACCAGACTGGGGTGCCACAAGAAAAGAAAACTATAGGCTGGTATCATCCTGATGAACATGATGCCGAAGTGCTCAACAAAGTATTAGCAAACTGAATTCAGCAATTATTTAAAAAGATCATATACCATGATCAAGTGGGATTTATTTCAGGGATGCAGGGAGGGCTCACCATCTGCAAATCAGTGTGATATACCATGTTGACAACCTGAAGGACAAAAACCATGGGATGGTCTCAGTAGATGTGGAAAAAGCATTTGACAAAATGTAACATAAAAAATCTCAACAAAATTGTTGTGGAGGTAATGTACCTCAACTTAATAAAGGTCATATATGACAAACCCATAGGTAACATACTCTGTAAAGCTCAGAGCTTTTAAGATTAGAAATGAGACAGGCATGTTCACTCTTAACATTTTTATTCAGCGTGGTATGGAAAGTCCTAGTCAGAGCTGTTAGGCAAGAAAAGGAAATAAAACACAAACAAATGAAGAAAGGAAGGAGTAAAATTCACTATTTGCAGGTAATTTTGTATTACAAAGAAAACGCTAAATACTCCACCAACGAACTGTCACAGCTATAAATGAATTCAGTACAATTGCAGGGTACAGAAATCTATTGGGTTTCTATGCACTAATAATGAACGATCAGAAAGAGAAAATAAGAAAACAATCCCATTAACAACTGCAGCAGAAAGAAAAGCTAAACAAAAAACCCTGAATTTATAGATACAGAGAACAGATTGCCAGAGACAGGATTTGGAGGTTAGGTACAATGGGCGAAGGTGGTCAAAGACAAACTTCAAGTTATAAGTATTTGAGGATATAATGTACAGCATGATGACTAATGTTGATGACACTGTGTATTTGAAAGTTAACAAAGAGCTTAAATGTTCTAATCACAGGAAAAAAAAATTGTAACTATGCATGGTGATGGATGTTAGCAGGCTTACTGTGGAGATCATTTTGTAGTATACACAGAGATCCAGTCATTATTTGTACATCTGAAACTCTGTTACTTGTCAATTATATCTCAAAAAGAAAACAGTTTGTAGTTGCAGTAATATACATGTTTGGTGTGTGAATGGGTTTTCTTGCTGTTTGTTTCCTCTTTTTATTTTATCTCATGCATTTTTTACTTATTTATTTAGATACACAGAAGTAAAAACAAATGGAAATTTCATCTCAAGGATGGCATTATGAATCTTAATGGAAGAGATTATATATTTTCCAAAGCCATTGGAGATGCAGAATGGTGAAAAGAGTTGGTTCTTTTTCTTTTATAAATAAAAGAAACTTAAAAAAAAAAATTTAAAGTGGACAGTTTGAAACTTGGAACATATACCAACCAAAACCTAACTTCTGCATGTCAGAAAAGTGCAGTAGAAGCAGAGCTACTGGAACAAAGAGACCTTGACAACACAGACACTACTTCTAACTGGCAAGCCATGGAACTGTAGCACCTGGGGTTGTTGCGGTGGGGAGGGTGGGGATTTGTGTAAGAAAACCAGAATTGTCGATTTTAAATACAGGTACCTGCCACTGGTAATTAGCATGTAAAGCTTTGTTTATATTCCTTCCTCCAACTTGAGTTCAGCCAGAAGATACTTGTTGGAATGAACTGAAGAAACTTCCCTTTTGATAGATTGAACTGAAACTGCTTATTGTACGTGGTTATATTTGGTAAAAATTGCGTGTTGAGCTTTTTACAAAAGGGTAAGAATTATGGTGTTGAATTTTAATTCACTTGTATAAGGAAACAGTTTAGAACTCTTATAGGTCTTAAATATTTTTACTTGCTATTCTCCCTCAGTAATATATACCTCTTCCTTCCCTGCTTGATGAAACATCTATTTACAAGTTAAAGGAAGTGTATAATCAGTAATTACAGTTTGGAGACAAAATTTACCTAGGAGTGGATGTTTATTTTAATTAGATTTTCAAACTCATTATAAATATAAAGACTTGGGTCTTGTATGAGTTGAGCAGAATTAAAATGACAACTTCAGTTTCCTAACAGAATTGTATTTGTTTCTTTTAGTCCCACACCTTAAAAAGAAACCCCAAGTGGCTCCTCAGGAATGCAGTTTTGTTGCACTAAAGGTACCATCTAGCTGGAATTATATACATATGAATAGATAGATTATTTTCCTGTTGGGCTGAAGTGTATGCTTATGTATGTGTTTAGTCTTTAAGCTAAACAAACATTTAGATAACATTCTGTGCATTGATTGATGCATTGGGCAGGTGGTGAGGACCTGGATTTTTATCAAACAATTTAGTAATTTTAAAAGTTTCTTGTGTTTACTAGTAAAGAATTTTAAAACTCTTACTCTAATTGAACACATTTTTTAAAACGCAACTTTGTAATTTGAGGGAGAAATTTTGGGGTTAGAGGAGGGTGGGCCACTTAGTACATACTTACCTCTCTTTCGTGCAGTGGCCCTTCCAGGCCACTGATAATACAGTGGGCTCCAGTTTGCACATCGGGAAGACAGCATAGAAATTTGACTTGTATATTAAAAACAGTAGAAATGTAATATGTATATGAAGAGTGCATAGCTCTGTTTTCTGTAAGGGGCTCTAAAGAACAATGTGGCAGTGCTGTATGTTCAGTGTGAACGAGTTGCTTGGGAGAACTGCAGGAACGTGTGTCCTCACCTTTGTTCTTAACACCTAATTCTTTTCATGGTTTATTTTGACAAAATTCACATGTTTAACTTGTATATTGATTTTTTTTAAGTCTTCCAATTTTGTCTTCCTTTTATTTGCCTTTGTGTTTCCAGAACTAACAGAGAAACACTTTAAAGTACATTGAAGAAAAAAACTGTGAGCTGTTTTATATTTTCTTTTTTTTAGCACAAATCTTTAAACTTCTTTAAGAGGCTGATTTTTTTTTTTTTTTTAATTTTCTTTTGCCTACTTCCCACCCGAAATACCACCTTGGTCCCTTTAACTTATGTTCTGAACTTTGATATAAATGGTGGTTTCTAGCATGCTGGTAGTTAGATTTATTTCGATGCCATATCTGGTGATACGGTTTTAATTTTTACTATATTAATTTAGTTTTTTTGAGGTTTATTTGTTTACCCCAGTATGCTCAAAGCACACGCAGGTTTTTTGTTTTGCTTTGTTTTTGTTGAGCCTGGGAGGAGAGGGGAAGGGAGTAAAATCACAGAAGTCCTGTTCATTTGTCCTTCAGTATAGTTGCTAGTAGGTTTATATTTACCTAGTGAAGAAGTCAATGACCTGAACTACCTATAAAAGTTTAGCATTGCTGCAGTGTTGATTGAAACCCTTTGGCTATCTAGTAGTTCTTATGCTACTGAACCTTGGATTACTATATGATACTCAGCTTATATTTTGGACTCTTATGTAGACAAAAACATTGCATTCATTATAGAATTGTACACTAGCCTGTTTTTATAACATTGAAACATCAACAACCACTGCTTTCAGTGTGACTTAGTAGGGTTGTTTTGAAGCAGGAAATAACCATTTATATTTGCACCTGTGTATATTGCATATCAATTATGACATACTTGGCAAGCGCTTTTCTTTTACCTGTGAAAATTCTGAAAACTGGTCCAAACAACACTGCATACCAAATTGTGCTCTTATATATAACACTGCATTGTGTTCCTTTTTAGTCAAATAGCATGTTTTAGTTTTATTATAGTGGCTTGCTGTAAGAATGCCACTTGCTTATCTTTTATTGAACTTGAATTCTTAATCATGCTTTTAACATTTTATTTAACATCATTTCATTAGGTTCCATTAAAAATGTCATTCCTTTGAAAATGCAAGGATTCCCACTTTCAAAATTTTGAAGTAAAGATAACATTTATTCAAAGAAGGAAAATAGTTCAGACTTGGTATTGTGAAATAAGTGAAGGTTTCAGAAAAGGATTTGTTTAGATTTGCACAGATGATGATGGCACCTTGTATTAAAAAACAATCAACAGTGCTAAGGAAAATTTACACAAAAGTACTAGGTTTAAGTGTGGAAATGTGTGCCTTTCAGTGTATGTACTCTTTTTTTTTGGTGGTCGTTTGGATAATCAGACCATTTGAATGGCTGAGAGCACATTTAAATTCTGTGGAGCGCCACATTTGGCTGAAACAACTCTAATGTGCAATTAGTTTCTAGACTAAAATGTCTGTTATATGAGGGGGATCTTTATATTGGGCTTTTATATTTTTTTAAATGTTCACATTTCTTTCTATTAATTAAATGCCATCATAGCACCACATTTATATTGCCTCTCTTAAAATCAAAGCCACCTTGATGATGTTCTTCTTGGCATGCATCAAGATTTGAGCAGTGTGTATAGTGATTAAAATGTGTTCTTGAAGAGCATAGTCTAATAGACTCTGGTTTAGACTGCAAGAACATAAAAGTATAATAGCTTTTGTATAAAGATTTTCTTTTGCTATATGAAAATCAAGGATTTGGTTTGCTTTTTTTCTGGCTTTTATGAAGGAATAAAAACTTATCTCCTTCTAAGAGTAATTTTTGATTATCTTATAGCAATAATGTCACCATTCTTTTCAGAAATAAATACACCTTGTATAGGAAATCAGACATAATTTTCTTGGGAGCTCCCTTATATCTTAGCTTTTTCTTCCTCTTAAGAAAATTCCTATATTTTCAGATTATTTCATCTTGAACTTTTTTGAGCTTTTGTGCAATGTAATATTTTATTGATCCATCTTTCTACATTTTCATTTTATTTCATACGTCTATCTCCCACCTATCTGTCTGAATCAGCTGTTTCAGGTTTTTAATTCATTGGTTAAAAAATAGTTGCTTTATATATTTCTTCATGGGTTTATGTTAAATAGTTTTGCATTTTAATCTATTATGCTATGGAAATTATTCTGAAGTTTGTATTCCCTTTTTAAGCCTGCCTTAGTCTATTTTTTGGTCATTTTTTATGGTTTAAGGAAGAACACACAGAACTTGATATTTTTATTTTGAGGAACAAGAAAAATTGTTTTTTCTTTTAAGAGAAGAACTACACTGAGTTATTAACTACTATTTCAAGTTTCCTTAAATCATCCGGTATGCTTCAGGGCTACAGTTTGGGGGGAGGGGCTAATTCTTTTTGCTGTTCTGAGCTACTATTGTCAACTGCTGTTGTACATACTGTTATGTGTAAGGGCGTAAATATATTTATTATGTTTGTAAAATTCATTCTGTACAATTGCAGATCAAGGTTGCTCTTCTGTGATATACGGGATATTATGTTTTAAAGACCATCTTGGAATACAATTAGAGAACTTAGTATTTTGATGTACTAAGACCTATTTTAAGTTTAATATTTTACCTTTGCAAAAACTTTAATTAAAGATGTTATTTAAAAAAAGTAATGCTGCTTGCTTTGCTTACTAGTTTATAAAATTGTTATATAGATAACTGAATAAAACTATACAGTTGAGAAAGGAAAATGCTTTACATTGTTAATAAGTTCCATTATCAAAAAGAGGTATCATTAAAGTCTATACCTTTAATTGGGGTGGGATGTCAGTTTGAATATTAAACTGTGTTATAAATTCTTAGTACCTTTTAAAAAGAATAGTTGTAATTTCTAGGTACACAGGAGTTTAAATTGGGCTAAAGTCACACCAACAAAGTGTAGCTAAAAATTGATAATAAGTAACATATTGTATTAAGTGAGTAGTTCTACTCCAAAGAATAGATTACTTAAGATAAAATTATTTGAGAACATACTTGTTTTTTAATTTCACTGTTTAGCTATATATTTTTCTTTTAGTTCAGAGTTTGTAAATAGTTGCATAAAAGGAGAATCAGATCATTAAGGCCTGTACTACATATTGAATATATTTTGTTATTTTAGAAAGTATTAAATAATTAGCAAGTATTTTTATTTATAGTTATTTCAAATGAATCATTAAGAAGAAGCTTGCTTTTTTGTAATTTTTTTTATCCTGTTACTATACTTTATCTAGGAAACTTGCAAATTTTAACCATTAAAACAATCATAATAAAGATATTTTATTTGTTGCAGCAAATCTTGTATTTTTGCAGTTTAATTCAGGCTCCTACATTAATGACTGTAACCTCTGTGGCCTCAGTTTCCCCATATATAAAATGACAGCAGTATGGTTTTGAGAATTAAGTGAGATAATATATGTAAAGATCCTAAAGTGGTGCATTTTGTACCATAGTAAGCACTCAGATATCCCAGTTATTAACTTCATAATATCTGTGGAGCTGAAAAATATTTTTAAATGG